AGGACGAAAACCGATGTAATCCATTACTTCTGGTTTGGAGATCTTGAGTGATGGCTTGTAGTCAAAACCGAAAGTGCTTGAGAACTGTTCATACGATTTAACACAGTCCGGGTTACCATTATGGAGATTTCCTGTTATGTTTTACCACCAATCCTCGAATTCCATATCACAGATTATGTTCTTACTGCATTAATATAAATATTAACAAGACATAGTGCACAATAAAAATTAAGCTTTATTTAGGAACATCGCGCATACTCCCCGACAGCCTGCCTGTTTCGCTCTGCTCGCTACTCGTAAAAAAACTTCTCCTCTAGGGTTGCCACACTTATCGGAGGGGTGCAAGGCGCGCTCCTTATCGCCATCACCACAAGAACATTAAAAAGTAATTCAAAATCTTAAGACAAAATGATATAATCCTTACAATTTAAGTTTAAAACTAGGTGTTAATTAGAAATTTAAATATCAAACTAGGAAATTAAAATTAACTAACTTGCCTGCAAAATTTTTGAACCAAATGGCTGGAAATGCAAGTATGTAAAAGAAATATAAAAGGATTGTTGGAAAGTGTATTTCTCTATTTAAGAAAGTTTAGCCTTAAATTGGCAAGAAAACTGGTAAGTTTCTTGGAGATGTAGAGAGTACATTGTTAGTAATAATCTTTATTAATAGTTTTAGTTTAATCTTCTTAAGATTTTGAATTATTAAGAGTTCCTAGATCATAGATAAACATAATAAATACATATATCCTAGATAAACGTAATTAAACGTTTAAGTATGGAATGTAAAATTTAAGTGATGTAGTGTAAATTTAAGTGATGGAATGTAAAAGTATTAAGTATTAAATATTAAATGATGGAATGCAAGTATTAAGTAATGGAATGTAAGTATTAAGTGAGTGGAGTGAGTAAGTGAAAGAAGTGCAAGTTATTAAGTGATGGAATGTAAAAGAGTTGTTGTTAAAGTGTAGTTCTCTATTTCAGAAAGTTTAGCCTTAAATTGGTGAGAAAACTGGTAAGTTTCTTGGAGATAATACACAGAGAGTAGGCTGTTAATAATAATCTTCTTAGGATTATTATTGAGAGTTTATTTTAATCTTGTTAAGATTTGAATTACTTTTTAATGTTCAAAATGTATACTTTTGTTTTTACTCTTGTATTTGAGTTTGAAAATGAGTGCCGGGGATGTATCTTCTAAGGTGAGCATCTCGTTTAGTTGTATTCTTAGTGAACAACTTTAATTTTAAAGGTTATTTGCTATTTATTTTTTGTTTAACAGGATTCTTTTGGCTTAAATTAAATAATGTCTTTATTTTGATTGAGTAATATTTTGTGACGTAAGATTTGGATGTAGCAAAAAATTTGATGCTTACTTTAAAATAAGACGAAACGCTCTCTCTTAATTTAGTTATTGTTAATTGATGGTAGGTAGATTGCAGTTCAGGATTTACGTATAAGCTACATAAGCTATAACTTTATGCCCCCCACCTTCTTGGGAGCCCCCCAAAATTAAAATATTGTATAAATATAGTATAACAGATCTATAAAGGGCCCCCATATCTTAAATAGCTTAGGGCCTTATCAAGTCTAAATCTGGCTCTGGCTGATTAGTTTATTCCCCTTAATAAGTCGATTAACCCTCTGATAACTTAAATAACCTCTGATTACTTTATTCCCCTTAATAAGTCGATTAACCCCTCTGACTGCTCAATTTGTAAACCAAAATCACTTCAAAAATTGTTTAATTTTTTTTTCATATTTTAAATCTATATATATTGGAGAATTGAAAAATGCATTTTTCCTTTCTAGAAAATATTTTCTTATATAGATTTTTATCATGAGAAACTAAGTTGTCAGAGAAACTAATTTCAGATGTTATCACCAAAAAAATTTTTTTTACATAAATTTCAGTTGAATTACAGTTAGTTTCTATTTATTGCATAATATAAAAAAAGTAAAATATATAAAATTTAAGAAAATATAAAGCACTGAGGAAAAAATATCTTAGAAATGCAGTTTAGTATGATAGAGTTCAAAACAGGATTCAAGGCAAAGTCCAACTTCACAGTCTTTGCACCAGATTCAATAAATCTAACTAATAATCAATCTAATTATTAATAATTCAATAATGTAATTAAATAATCAAGATAATCGCTGAATATTTTCTAGCAGTCATTTCTGTAAGAAAAAAGTGCAAAAAGTGGAGTTTAAGCGGTAATACTGCGTGTCTTCAAATGCCGCAGTTTAGTGGACAACTAACGATATTTGTTGGCCAAAACGTAAAATAAACGTCCAATACTCTATATAATTTATTTCAGTGGTTAAACTGGGAAGAAAAGGGATGTGCTATTCAATAAAGAAGGAAAAACACATGCCCGCGGAAATTGCTGGATGAGCAGATTTTGCTACATTTGAGTGTCCTGTGGAAATTGCAGGATGAGCAGCCAGAGGGTTAATCTGTGATCAATGACAGTGGCTACTTTTTCTATACTTTACTTTTGATTTTGGTATTTTTGCAATTAAAAATTTTCTTTGCAAATTTTTATGTTTTTAAAGCAAAGGAGGTCTAGAAAATTCTAATTTCAAATACTAATTAAGATACTGACTAAAAAATGTTTTTGTTATCTTAGTTCACAGTTTTAAATTGAATTTCTATTCTTTGGGGATGGTATATGGAAAGTTTTCTTTTTATAAATTATTATGAATTATTAGTTTGTATATATATTTATTTATGTACTTTGGTGCAGCCAATTACCACCAAAAATGGAGTTCCACAACTACATATTATAGCAGTCCTATATACAAAATTTCAATGTTCTGAGGCTACTAGTTTTTGAGTTATGCGAGATAAATACATACATATGTACGCACGTAATTAAGTACGTACAGACACCATGGAAAAATCTCTTCTGAATCCGTTTTAAATCAGTTTTATAATTCATTTGGTGAATTAATTTTTAATTCATTGATGACATAGAGATGTCATGCAAAAACATTGTTAAATTGCATTAGATAGCGGTGAAAATGGATATTTTAAACTGGAATTTTTCATGATTATAAAACTTACTTTACTTCGTACAAGGAAGTAAAAATAATAATTGTTCCTGGCTGTTACTGTTTCATCAGCCGTATTCAGCTGACCATATCGTGTCCATTAATATGCACTTTTTTAAGTTAGGTAGAATATCATAACTTTGAAAATGATCTACTACTGTTTAGTATTTTGTAAAAGGCAAATCCCAAAATTTTAATCCCTTCTTTTTTCATGCAAGAAAAAATATTAATATATATCTTTGTTCATAAAAACAAAATGAGGTTTATTGTGACTCAGTTGGGCTACATGAAACAAAAATGTAGATGTTATCATTGTGTTGCCATTTCATACTTATCCATAATTTGTGCTAAATAATGCTACTTGGGAACAGTTTTACGGTCGATGAGATAATGCACAAGTACCAAAAATACTGAATTAAATAGATACAGTGCTGTAAATTTATGCTTTGAATGGTATATAAATGGTACTTTACTTTTTAAGATATTAGTTATGTTTTCATATGATATAATTTGAACATATTTCTTAAGTCAGATGTAGGATACTAACAATAAAAAGTACTGAGCTTAAAGGATTAAAAATTATATATGTTGAATTAAATGGTAATAAATTAATAGTTGCCATATTTTTTACTCTACTGAACAGAATATTTGTTCTTCTATGTAATATTTCATCCAAATTTTGCAAAATAAGTTAGAAGGAAATAAATATAAATAAGAAAATGCAATTTTATATTCCTAAACATACATAATACAAGTTATCGATTTATTTGGCATGAAATTTCTCAAAATTAATAGCTGAAATTCTTCCAGGATCTTATCTGATAAAAATTTTAGTTAATTTTAAAATAAATGTTTGGATGTTTGGTATTTAATTTTAATTAATCTTCTTTGTATTAAGGTGATTATTTTAAATTATAATTGATAAAAGTATATTTTAGGGTACCCCTCGACGAAACTTGGTGATTTTTGGCAGTACATGGATACCGAGTTTGTGTAATTCTTTGACTTATTATTTTGGCTTGCATAACGGCAATTTTTGTGCCAAAAATCGATGCTACACAAAGCCCAAATAAAAAGACAAGGAATTGCACAAATTCGGTATCCATGTACACATTGACCTATTTTCACTTTAAAAAAAATCCCCGAATTGCACAAAAATGGCATTGTGCACTTTCTTGCCCCTTATACATAATCTCAATAAACTACATTTTAAACCAAACAATAAAATAACATAAAAAAAGAAAAACATGTTATACATTTACGCAAATATCCACTTACTCCTATTTAGAAGTTCCTTCGTCTTTAGTCTGTGGCATACAAAATTCCTTAACAGCATCCAAAAACTTCCTAAAATTATCTGAACTGGAATCCATATATAGGCATTGCCACATCTGAACCTTTCTTCCTACAAACCCATTAAAATCCATCTAAATGGTTTTTACGTTCGACTAGTTACATATCCTTCCTACATACAGGACACTTATAATGGCTACTAAGTAAACCTTCATTTACACACTAGTCAATTAACGCTCTTTTTACCTTTCGTTCCAAATTGTACAGAAACGTCAAATTAATCGTACTACAGTCAGCCATTCTACCGTCTAAACAATAAAACCAACACATACCACCAAAGCTCTTACAAAACATCTCATGATTCAAAATTTCCCAGAATCATGCACCTGATTATGTCACAATAGGGTTTCCATAACATTCAACTACTCAGGCTACCATAAATGAAAGAACAACTTGGCAATAAATGAAACAACAACTTGGTGATAAATGAAACAACAACTTCGCCATAATACAAGGGGTACCTTAAAGTCTACTATAACCTTATAATTAATTTATTAGCTAAAGATCATTGTTAATTTCAAAATAAATGTTTGACATTTGACTTAAACAAATCTTCTTTGTATTCTGATTATTACTTTTAATTTTCATATGAAGTTGATTCAGGAGGTGCAAATTTACCTCGTCAAGCTGATGTCTTTCCGGATATAACACATTTTGGTAGGATTTTTTATAATCAAGCTGTAATGTCTGCTCAAGGAATACCACAGGTAATGTTTCAAACTTTTTTAATAAGCTTCTTAATATTTTATAAGTTTTTAGAGGTAGAATTATAAACATTCACTATATTGCAGACTGTTATTATATAAGAAAGAACAGTTTTCATGTTTTAGGAGTTGAGATATTTTTTGAAATCATTAATGGTTGTTAATTCCATAGCTTTCAAATTAAATCTGTATTCTTCTACTGAAGCTCATAGATGTTTATGAGTGCATTTGAATTTAGATTTCACTTTAAAAATTCTGTTTTACTTCATGTTCTTGTTACTCATTTCTGCGCTTCACTATCACAAATGTATATCCAAAATGCTGAAAATAAATAATGCACAAATTCTATTATAAACATATAGTGAAACCTTTGTTCATGAACTCAATTCATTCCTGAAAATAGTTCATCATCCGAAATATTCATGAACTGAAACAATTTTCACTGAGGAATTAATGTAAAATGAACTAATGTGTTCCTGTATCTCAAGTAAGTGTGTAGAAAAGAGTGCTCTGAGTAGAGAGTAGAATGAGTCTATATCAAGCTCATGATGCAAAACCAATGGAGTTCATTAAATCTCATACATATGCAGTATATAATGCAGTAATAAACATGGAAAAAAAAGAGAATCTTGAATTAAATTTTATCATATCTCTATAAAAAATCGTTAAGCAGAAAATAGTGAAGAAGCCAAAGATGTAAAATGTTTTTGAAAGTGAAATCTGAGGTAGCTGTTGTCTGTCTGTTTTTTTTTTTTTTTTTTTTTACTTTCTTTTAACGTTGTTTGCTTCTACTTAAGAATTGCTGAGCGTATGTATCATTAAAAATTTGTCCTCTGTAATTTGTTTCTTTGTAAATGTTTTAAAATATTCTTATAGCAGGACATGGCATTGTCACTGAAATTGTTTATGCCGTGTCTTACATTTATCAGGGAGATAATATTCTATGAATTTTTGCATCTTACTTTATTTTGCATAAATTTTGTGGATAAAATAATTAGGAACATCTTCTCTTTTATCTACTTCTTATAAAGGTGTGGTAAACCGGCGACAGATAGCGCTTTTGGCTCCATATAATGATTAGTACATTTGTAAGGCTATGTAGTACTTACTGCATTTTTTAACTCAAAACATATTTGTTACAATTACGAGAAGCTCTATTACAATAGCTGATAACATGGGAAACATAGAATAATTATTGTAACAAAGCATAGTCCTTGGTGTGTGAAGGTGCAGTTGCCCCTCGCTCCCTATTTTATGACTTCGCTGATTTTTTTGCGTTTTAGTCTATGTGTTATATGTTTGATCAGATAGCCTGGCTCAGTTAAAGTAGGTGGCCAGTGTAACTCTGATTCAAAATCTGGTTACGACCATTTGCAGTGCTGATAATGACCACGTGTTTCTGAGACTCCTTTGCCAATGCTTTATTTTTTTTCTTTTTTCCCCTTTCTAGTAATTTCATTCTCCTGATGAGGAAGGATCTTTAGCTGCCCTCGAAATTGATTGAGTGTTTTAATATATGTACGCTAAATACAAGGTTGTTATTGTGATTTTGATTGTCACATTGGCGTGTTTCTCTTCTATTCTTGTTCAAGAGCATTCTGGCATATTGTTCGGTTGGAAAAAATCTGCAGACTGATATAGCCACACCTCCTTAATTTTTCAGTAGTATTTTTCATCCTGTGATTCGTTATATCTGAAATGATATCAGAGGAAAAACAAGGACCATTTGTTTGTCAGCTCTCCTGTAATCTGAAGGTTTTGATGACAGACACAGTGCAGAACGCTAAAATCTGTTGACAGTTGTCGTGAAGTTATGTCTCATGTACTGTCAACTGGAAGAAATTATTGTGTCTGCTAAGTCAAAACAGGGACTTGCGGGAACCGCACACACAATTTCTCATCCCTGTGGGGTCTGCCACATACTCTCCCTCCAGTATCATCGTGATGGTACATAAAAAATCTGGGAAATGCATGATAGGCTGATGTGGGTTTCAAAGCATCAGAGTTGAGACTAAATTAATTTTTCCATGAATGGATAATTTTAACACTTTTGCACCATCTTTGAGAACTTTAAAGGGGCCGTCGTCGCTTGGTTATAGTGGCTATTGTACTGCATCGCATTGCACAAACACAGGTGAACACATTTTTAAATCTTTGTGAATAAAGACTGCTTTTGCTGTATGTGATCCAGTTGTTTTTGGTTTAAGCTGCTGCATGCAACTTCGAAGTTGTTCTATGTATTCAACAGGATCAGTTGCAACATTCGATGTGCTGAAAAAGTCACCCGGGAATTTAATGGTAGTTCCGTACACAATTTCAATGGGAGTGCTACCGATGGTATCTTTGAGAGCTGTCTCAACCCAGGTAGCACAGTTGGTAAAACTTCCGTCCATTTTTGGGTGACACATTAACCCATTTTATTCCACTGTCCTATTTATAGGACAGCTGAAAAATAGCATGTAGAAATCAGTATTTGCTTGGTGCGAATATTTTGCCAGCTGGAATATGTAGGGATATGTATTAGCATCTGCTAGTGTGAGTTATGTGTCTCGCCCCATCCTCCTACCTCTGGACATTTTGATTATTCATCGCATTAGTGGGCGTGTTTTGTATCATCTCTTTGTGGTAGCAGAATTCGTTTTCAGTTTACTTTGGACACTCAGATGGGTATATTGTATGTGAAAGTACTCTTTCCTTATCATCCTGGTGATTAATGAAAGCTTTATTGTTATTACCGTATATACCCGCGTTTAAGTCGAGATATTTTGGACAAAAAAAAGACTTTAAAGTGGGGGGGGGGTCGACTTATACGCAGGGCCATAAAAAATTAAAAGAATCGGAAGTTCAAAAATTTCATTATATAATGCAGTTGTTTTCTTCCCGCACTCAAATTGGACGACTTATCAAATAAGTCACTTACTTGAAGTAATTTCATGACTTAAATTATGTGACGAACTAATCACAGAGTTTCATACTTTAACTATAGTAAGTTTCGATTAAACCAAAGAATTTTCGGCCCCCGAACAACCGATCAATATCGAGCAATAAAAAAAGTTTCGCCAACACGCCAAGAAAAGAGAAATGCAGATAGTTTTTACGTATGTATAAGGCTTTATAATAGTTATTGTTCATTCATGAAATACTTTTGTTAACAGGCGTACACATCAAAATTAAAAAAAAAATAGCCCACGCAATAACTGAACTTGTTTTGAATATTTCTTTTAACTTTTAAAAAGGGAAAATGCAGATAGATTTTACGTACGTGAATCTTTTCCGGAACAAATTCTAGAAGGTTACTATATACGATCATTTTTTCCCAATTATCCAGATCATTACTTCCGTCGACCAACATTTACTAAAGAAGGCAATATTAAAAAGCCCGATATTACATTAATTGCTCAGTGGGTTAAAGATGCTTGAAATAAAATACTCTCTGAAATGATTATAAAATCATTTAAAAAATGTTGTATTAGCAACGAACTAGACGGCACGGAAGATGATGCTGTTTTTGAAAGTGAAAATGACGACGAAGGCTCTAGTAGTGATTGTAACAGTACAGAGTTCGAGACTGAAAATATGTATGATGACGAGCCAATGATGACAGAAGAGTTCTATGAAATGTTTGGCGAATCTGACCATGAATCGGACGTTGAAGGATTTTGATTTTGTTTATTTACCTAGGTATTTTTTATCGTATATTTACTTTTTTTTCTCAGATGATTCTGAATAAATGTAGTACTTTATCGGTATCGAATTATACGCGGGTATATACGGTAGGTGAGTTTTAGCGCATTGTTTTTAACTGTCCTCTAAATAGGACAATGGGACGATAAGTACGAAATTGACGCGTTCTTTCCCTCTTTATAAATAAGAGAAAAAAATTCTAGTGTTTCACCCCTGCTGAGTTATGTCAGTGCAAAGGTTTCTGAAGTTAGAGGAAGAATTAGAACTATTCAATAGTTATTCAGATGAGAGTGAAGTTGAAATTGCTGTGTTACCACAGATGCCAGTGAACTAACTGACGAAGATGAAGGGGATGAGAATGAAGTAAATACTGGTGAGATTATTCTAACCAATGTTCCTGGGTCTCTGGAGGTTATAACTGGAGATAGTTTCCAGCCTGAACTGTCCACAAGCTCTAGTATTTCCACAGCAAAGAGTAGAAAAAAAGCTAAAAGACACCAGTCATCTTGGATAAAGAATAAATCACCACAATATACAAAATGGAAAACACAGGATGAATCAATTGCAAGTGACTTGCTCAAGCAGATGGAAACTGCATTGAAAGATAAAACTCCATCAGAGCTTTCTGAACAGTTTTATTCCAGTGAAGTCTATGATTTCATTGTAAAAGAAACTGTGCGATATGCAACAGATGTAAAACACGAACACAATTTGACCACTGTCAACAAAATACGTGTTTTTATCAGAATTTTGCTTCTAACTGGTTATCATTCAAATACCTGCGAACGTGACTACTGGTCAGATGCTGAAGACCTTGGCATTACCCTGGTGAAAAATGCCATGTCACGAAACTGCTTCCGAAAGTTGGAATCTTATTTATACTTTGTGGACAACTGAACTGTCAGTCAGCATGCCCAGGATCGATCCTTCAAAGTAAAACCTTTGTTTGCCATACTCAATAATAATTTTATGAAATTTGGACACTTCTCTGCAAATCTAAGAATTGATAAAATGATCGTCATGTATTATGGTAGGAATAGTCTGAAACAGTTTATCCGAGGCAAGCCTATACGTTTTGGATATAAACTTTGGGCTCTCTGTGGGAGCGAGGGATATTGTTACAATTTTTCTCTCTATTGCTATAAAGAATCTGATGCGAGAAATGATACTCCTCTTGGTACTCGGTTTGTGATGAAACTAACACAGAATATTGTGAATCCTTCAATCTACACTTTATATTTTGATAACTTTTTTAATAATTTATCTTTTGAAAAGTCTTGATGAACAGAGTTTTCGAGCTACAGTAACCATATGAGAAA